GGAAGCAATCAAAATCAACAAAAGAGCAATGATATAACAAGACTCAGTTAGCTTAATGCAGTACACGTAGCAAGGTTTTTTAAATCATATAATAAATAAAAATAAAACAAAAAAATAAAAAGATAGACTAGGAAAAGAATAGAGCAAGCTAGTGTTAGAGACCTTTTTTGGCTTTTGTTAATTGTATAATAAATAAAAAAGAAAACAAATAAATAGAATACAAAAAGATTAGAAAAGCTAGTGTTAGTTTCTTTTTTTTTTTAAAGAAAACAAGCTGTTAGTAAATAAATAGAGTGCAAGTCTAAAAGGGCCATTTTTGGTTTTTAAGAATAGAATTAGAATAGCGAGTGCTAGAGTTAGAGGGTCAAATAAAGATGGAAGAGATATGCTTTTAGCTGATTCTTGAAGATGGCTAAGGACTCAGCTGCTCAGATTGAGTTGGGCAGGTCATTCCACCAGGAGGGAACATTTCATTTAAAAGTCTGTGAATGTGATTTGTCTTTGGGATGGCACAATAAAGCGACGTTCACTTGCAGAACGCAAGCTTCTAGAGGGCACATAAGTCTGAAGTAATGAATTTAGGTAAAGGGGTGCAGAGCCAGTGGTGGTTTTGTAGGCAAACATTAATGCTTTGAATTTTATGCACGCAGCTATTGGTAGCCAGTGCAAATTGATAAACAGAGGTGTGACGTGCATTCTTTTTAGCTCTATAATACCATGCAAACCCTAAAAAAGATTGTACCTGTTTAACAGTCTCAGGGGTGGGCCATTCTCTTACCACTGCTAACTTATCTGGATCAGGGGCCACTCCCTCTCCACTGACAAAATGTCCCAGAGACTTCACCTGTCTGCAGAATAATGGGCACTTCTCAGGTCACAATTTAAGCACATACTGCTCCAAAGCTTGAAATACTGCACCTAGATCTTCCAAGTGGGTCCTAAAATCCTAAGAGAACACAATAACATAATCCAAGTACACCAAAGTGGACTCTGTCAGGGGGTCATTTAAACACCACTGCATTAGCCTTTGGAAAGTAACCGGCCCATTGCAGAGCCCAAATGGCATACGCTCCCATTCAAATAGCCCAAAAGGTGTAGTAAATGCAGTCTTCTCTCTATCTTTTTTATCTACTTGCACTTGCCAATAACCACTAGTGAGATCTAGAGTGGAACACCACTCTGCCCGAGTCAAGCTGGTTAAGGAATCTTCTATTCTTGGTAGGAGAAATGTGTCCTTCATAGTCACACTGTTTAATTTGTGATAATCTACACAAAATCGCCAAGCCCCACTCTTCTTCTGGACTAACACAGTGGGTGTGGCCCAAGGGCTACAACTCTCTCTAATAATCACCCTTCCAACATACCTTGTAATAACATGTTATTAATAACACCTGCTGCCATTTACACAAAAAATACTCAAGTTGTTCTCTCTGACAGTCATCTAACCCTTCCCCCCCAGCGGTGCTACCTTTACAGTACTCTGGAAGCCCTCCCTGTGATTCATATGTACTCTGTTCAACATGTACTACCCTCACTTCTACTACCCCACCCATCCACCTCTACCAAGATAAGATCTCGCTGCCCTCTAACCTGCTGTGAGTCTATACTAAGCACTTCCGCTACTCGTGCTACATTGCTTTGTTGTTTTTGGGCTTCTGCAGCTTTAATTCAATGACAATCTGCAAGCACATACCCCCGTCTTGCCTTCGGAGCTTAACTTGTGTTGACACTGTCCTTTGATGGCTCTGACACACTTCTTCCCAGCAGACCGAGATCACATTCATGCCCAATAAGGCTTGGTTTGTCCCTCACAATAACGATACTTTGTGCTGGCACTGATGCTCCCTCGACTTCAAAGTCTGCAAGCATATATCCCACATATGGAATATGTTATCCATTTGCAGCCCTTAGAGTTAGCTAGGGGACATCTCTTACTTACCCAACCGTTGAGTTTTATCTCTACCAAGGGGCACGTTCCTGCAATTTTGCTAGGGCCTTGCAGAGAAGGTCCGGCTACTTGGCCCACAGTAGCTGGCACTCTTAAAAATTCCGCCTTGAATTTTGACGAGCAGGACAATGTCGTAGAATATGCCCTACTTCCCCACATCCATTACACACTGGTCTACTTTGAGCATCCGACTTAAATCTATCATTCAAAGGGCTGCCAGAGGGCCTCTGGTTAGCATTCGCTTGGGCTGAATGAAGCTCTTCATGAAGATAATTGGTTAATAATGATCGGTTCTGATGCAACTCTTCGAAAAAAGCCTTTGACATTTCAGTAAACTGTTCTTTTACCTCTTGCATCAGCTCACGACGAAGTGTCTGCTTTCAATCGGTGGCCGGCTCCACTGCAACATTTTGAGTAAACACTGGCACGGTGGGGGCCCACAGGTCTTGCCTCTCACTCTCCAAAGCCAATGCCTCCTTCCTCACATCCTCAAAGATCAGCTGCTGATTCCTATGGACCTGGGCCTGCAACTCTTGCTGAATGGGTCCTTCCCATAACCCCATCACAAACGGATCTCTCAGCAGCATATCTCCTCCCTCCAAGCCGGTGTCATCTCGCCACTCCAACCTGGAAAACAACTCAAGCAAACAAAGAGAAAAATCCCTAATAGATTGTCTCGCCTCCTGTCTATAATTTAAAACTTGGCCCTCAATGCAACAACTGGAGTATTATCACCATATAGTCCCATCAATAATGCAAACACTTTCTCAGGGGTGTCCTGTTCTTCTACAGCCACTGCTAAAATCTCCCTCTTAACCTCTCCCTCCAAAACCCCCTCCAAAAATAAAATGCAGTTGTTGTCCAGTGCTTAGTCCTTGGAGAGTCAGCATATTTTGTACTTACTCTTTCCAAGCACCAAAAGTCACTTCTGAGTCAGTCACACTAAACTTCTGGACCCATGGTCTGTCCATAAAAATGGCATCATCATGACTTAAGCCTTTGGGGCTTCTGGTTCGTCCCCGGGCATAATAGAAGTCTCGGATGCTCAACCCAAGTTTTAAAACCCTGCCAAAGTTTTTCACAGGCAGGCACCAATTAACCACAACCTCACTCTTCAATAACTCTGGGGAGCAAACCGAAATCTTCAATAATGGCACAGAATCACCACTTTCTCAAAAATGTCTTTATTTGACAAAATTGAAGTTGGAAAGTTCAGTAAAAAGATATCAGAATTCATACACTCAATAAAAATAATATTGAAAAGATAAAAAGACAATATACTAATTCACACCACAATACTCTTACTACCTTCTACATCAGCCTTGATAAGTAGCTATATAGGAAAGTAACAAAGTACTAAAAGAAAACCCACAAGAAATCTCACTAGGACACTCCAAAAGCAAATAATCATTACAAGTGCAAGGTGAATCCACACAATAAATCTCACCACAATACACACCACACAGAATACTCAAGCTCCTATTTCCCCAATTTAAATTAACTATAGCTCTATTTTTTTATACAAGGCTGGAGTAAAGTAGTAAACAGCACAAGAAAGACGATAATACTACTAAATAACACAAAAAATTCTACTTGTTAAAACTCACTTCATCAGAGGGTAAGAAAAGGTGCAGTTTAAACTATTCAAGCCACAGTCTGCAAGGCAGCTCTCCTCATATGCAGCGTGTAAATCACAGTCCTTAATCTCGTAGTCCGTGCGGAGGTTCCTCCAAAGAATGGCCGATTTGTCAGCTCTCAACTCGGGGTCCGATCTGGCGGCTCATCACTCCCCGCTACAACAACAATGCAATCAATTTCTCGCCCACACACTCGTGAATCCAACAAGAGTGAGGGAAAGGCAAGGTTGCCAGGTTTTCACAACAAATTCCACCCAATTGCTACTCAAAACTAGCTCAAAAGTAGCCCAATCATGTTCCAGGTTTAAAATACACGTATTTGGTAGGAATGCCCTGGTACAATTCGCATTCCAGAGGCTAAATATCACATCATTGAGGTCGCTTCAACCCGCAGCAACATTGTTACAGTAGCCACTTGGCAACACTGGGGAAAGGACACTTAACTGGCCGGGGGAGTGAATAACTCACACCTCCCCTTAGACAACAATGGCATCCTCGATTTCCTTGTGCTAGGATCCGACAGCAGCATCCACCGGCTCACTCACTCTCTGCTACAACGACAACGCAATCTATTCCCTGCTAACACACTCGTTAATCCTAAAGAGAGAAGGAAAAAACAATTAACTGGCCGGGGTAGCGAATAACTCGCCCCTCCCCGTAGACCACAATAGCGTCCTTGATTTCCTAGTACTCCGATCCAACAGCAGCATTCTCCACATGAAAAACACTCGTCTCTCTCCCACACTTCCGCGGCCCGCCTTCCTTTTTGTCCAAATCTCCCTCCGACTCTAAGCATTCGTTCCCCCTCTTCTCACTCGCCGCTCACAGTTCCCGTCTCCCGCTGGTTTGTCCTGTTTTAAGGCTCTCCTGCTTTCCACCCATGCTGCACACTTATCTTCGTCCACGTCCACCTAAAAAACACCCGACCCGACCCAACTCCACTCCACCCCCAATTTCCCAGGGCCAATGGATTTTCCTTTCTTATCATTCTACGTTCCCCTTTTCAATGTCCTAATCATTCCTACAAAATTAGTCACCCTCTGACAAGTTACATAAAAATGTCAAATTACATTTCACCCAGAAATACTCTGTTGTGCATAAAATAGATGAAGCATATTTCAGGACCATTAAGATATTTTGCATAGTGATATTATTTTAATGACAATTAAATGCATTTTCCGCCATCAATGAAATATGACCTGGGAAAGTTCATAAATTCAATAAAGACAAATTCAAAGACAAATTTCAACCATGGTTGACAATAAAGATGTATTGTATTGTATTGTATAAATAACAACAAAAGCTTATCACTTGCCATGAAACGCTAGAGCACTTTGTGTTAACTGAGACTGAGAAAACAGTGTATAATGTTTGAAGGTTTACCTTTGATATTGATGATGTTTCTCATGGTTTAGATGCACAGGATGATCTTTCATCTGTTACTTCAGCGTTTTTGAACAGTGTGGATGATCTATGCTGCCAGAGCAGCAATGACTGGTACAGGGTTTACCTCATCAGAAAGATCTGCAGTCTTCATGGGATTGAATATGTCCAGAAACTTCTGCCACAGGAAGGGTTCAAGTGGCTGTTTCCTCAGAAGATTCTTGAGTTGGTAAGTTTTAGTTGATTTACCTCATAATGCTGACATGAGTGGCAAGTATTTGTCCTTTAACTGATAAATTTGTTTCTCTCAGAATCATGACGACAGCCAGATTGACCACTTTGTAGCATGTGGACTGGACTACAAAACTGTTAGGGATGCAGTAGCCGAAGCCATGCTAGATTGCAACATGAATGGAATACAGGAAGCCATTGAGGTACTGATATACACATTTACACACACACACACACACACACTATGTCCCAAAACATAGAGAGACATAGGCCAGAATGCATCTGTATGCCAATGACTATAAACAGAATTTCTGTTATGTCACTTGTGAAGTTCCAGTTGGGTTTGGATGTCGCATTAGACAGTAGCGAGACTAGGTTTTGGAACAGAGCTGTTGTGTCTATGTGGACACTGTAATGAAATGCTTAGATGCAGTCAAATGTTTGGCATTTCTCTTCCTTGCTCTGATAAGTTGTTTATTTGCTTTTATATTTGTCTGAAGTATTGCAAAAGCACACCCATGAAGAAAGCTGTTTATCTGCTAATGGCTTTGTTCAGAGAAGTCACATCACTGTACAGAAATGGAAAGCCCAACTTGCACCCTAAACCTGAGGTAAAAACACAAGCATATGCTACACAGCAAGGCATTTGTGCTTTACAAATCTAAAGTACTGCTACATGATTTTGGAAGAACAGTATGAATTAATGTTTACATGAAGCTTCCTAGTAAAAGGGTCAAGATGAAAGGGATCCTGTCAAATGGACAATGTCCTTGATATTTTCAAATAAAAAATGTTCATGTACTATGAAAACATACTGTAACTTCTGGAACTCAACACTTTCTCCCCATTCCAACAAGCAGTTAACACACAGATGAACACTGGGTTCACAGAATACCTGCTGGGTGATCAGAATTACAGTGACATAATAAGGAGAACGCAAGATGCATACTATTATCCCTAAACAACAGAATAATTGGGTGCTGGAGTAAAATGTGGTATGTCAGACCATGTGCTGTTCATGGCTGTGTGTGTAGTACCGGTTGCTCTGCAGATTTTCTGAAGATTTGTAGAAATGAATATCTGTTTATTTTTTTAAATGATCCCTGATCATTTTGGTCTCATTGCGTCTTCAAAATCTTAAATCTCATAACTGAGCTACAGTAATACATGCTTCAATTAAATATTTATTATAGTTAACACAGCTTGACTAGGAAATTGTACCCAAATCTATTTACAGCTTTTGCAAATAACATTAGTAAACATATGAAAACACTTTATAATAACTTTCATTAATAAATAATAATTTAAAAACCTGATTTAATGGTATATAATGCTTAACAGGTCATTAGTTAATATATATAACAATAGCTATGAGGTAATATATATATATATATATATATATGTCATGAGAACTCTCTGAAGATCCCCTCTCTCTCTCTCTCTCTCTCTCTCTCTCTCTCTCTCTCTCTCTCTCTCTCTATATATATATATATATATATATAAAACAGATAATTAAACCATGTAAACAAAATTATTACCTTCATGAGTAGTCATCTTAATTGCAAAATGTGTCCCAAATGACCTGAATTCACCATATTTACACTTTTCTACAAATCATTTATTAATTATGTTTTCATGTTTTTGCAGTACCCAGTCTAAAGTTGTGATTATTCATCATTTGTATTTGTTTATAAATGTTTACTCTTTATTCAGTACCTTTATAGGCTTTGGACTTAATTTCCTTGGACTTAATTGCTGTAACAAAGTTTGTGTAAAGGATGGTTAGTTTAGTTAAATGCTTGCTAAATAAATTACAGCACATTGTAGTTTCCAAAACATGTTTTTATTGCCTTAACACTTAGTGTACTATATCCTTAAACAGTATATTCATTGAATCATAGAACAACAGAAGAAATCAATTTTTTCAAGAAATTACTTGTTCATTTATCAAAACAGTGTAATATAAACAGACCATGTTCCCTCATAGTAATCAAACTGACCCCTGTACACTGGTGACCCCTTAACCAACCCGTAAACCCACCCATACCACCAAACCTGTCCCTAATCATACCCGTATCACACCTCGATACCAGCAGAAGTGTTGTACATTTACAAAAGCTTTTAATAGCTGTATAAAATCTGGACAAATTCTGACTATGGGTTCCTTCACTTCATTATCTTATATTTCTAGGTATTTGAATATATATAAACATGTATTTGAATATATGAACATATATTAACAAGCATTATAGCATGTGAGGGGATGCCACACAGTGGTAAACATGGCCTTGTCCCAACTTTTTTGAGATGTGTTGATGCCATGAAATTTAAAATCAACTTATTTTTCCCTTAAAATGATACATTTTCTCAGTTTAAACATTTGATATGTCATCTATGTTGTATTCTGAATAAAATATTGAAATGTGAAACTTCCACATCATTGCATTCTGTTTTTATTCACAATTTGTACAGTGTCCCAACTTTTTTGGATTCGGGTTTGTATGTACAGTATATCCCTATGCCTGATATTCATGCATTTTTTTTTGTTTTTTTTATAGCAATGTGCTGGCCTTGAAGATTATATCAGAAGCACAGACATCTTTGTCAATGATGAAATGAAAGCATTTGCTGAAGCGCTGGTGAATAATAATCTCCGTGATCTGCGTGTACAACCTCAGACGTCAGGCAGAGAGCTTCTTCTGGTGGAGGTTACAGTTCACATGGCTGCAGTCCTGTTGTGTGGAAATCAGCTTTTACTGCAGCCACTGCAGCAGCTGGCACTGTCCCCAAACATCATGACGGTATGAACCCTTCATGCTTCACAGGGTGACTAGAATGTGTTTGAGTGTCATATTTCTGTCATGTTCTCCTCACAGGCTTCATTCATCCCAACTATGCCGGATGACATGCTGGCTGTAGTCCAGCAGGCCATGGAAGGCGTCTGGTGGTATAGTGAGTGGATTCTGTTTCATGCTAAATTCAAGATTTGTCAAAATTATATACACCTTGAGACCCAGTAATTAATGCCTGATCAGAAAGGCCACAATAAATCATGTAACACAACAAGCAGAACTTCATTATCAGAACTGTGATAATATAGGATAATATATTCAAAATGGTTTTCATGTGTATCACAAACAAACAAATAAATAAATAAAATATTAATAATTTTCAGTTATTTGAGTGTCTTTCAGTTGGGAAAATTAAGACAAAAGGGAAAGTCATTTCAGAGGTTTCATTCATTTAATTTTTTTAATAAATATAAGACAAAGTGCATATAATAATAATAATAATTTGAAACCTTTTTTACTGATGCATTTTGTTTGGTAATATTACACAGACCAATAGGATTTGAAGGATTATCTATTGTACAGACTTGTAGGATTTCTAATCATTCACCAAATTTATATTATCCCCTAAAATGTATTTCTGACAATAGAATTGCTTTGGGAAACAAAGGGGTGGAATTTTGAGAGATCCTTGGCATTGTCAAGTGGTTCTGTTTTTGAACATTTCTGCATTCTATTTTTTTTTTTTAATAAATTCTTGATGTCTTCTTTTGTTTTTAACAGCCTGTCCTAATGGTCATCCGTGCATTGTTGATATGGTAGGGTAATTTAATTTCTATGATTGGCTTAGCATTAACTACATGTATTAAAAGTCACAGAACACAGCATGAGCTTTAATTTAATATGATCAAATCATTATTAATTATGTATTAAATTAAACATTTATTCTCTTCATGCATCTGTCCAGTGTGGTCGACCCATGGAGGTTCGCCGCTGTCCAGACTGTAATGCAGAAATAGGTGGCATAGACCACAAACCTGTTCAAGGCTTCCAAGCCATGCAGAGACGGTGAGTTACTCTCGCAGCGAACGCTTGTTGTTATTTATTCTGTGTCTTTAATTCTGCTTAATTTATTACCTGGCTCTCTGGAATATTTGATTCTGATTGGTCAATCACGGCATTCTGCAGTTAAATATTTTAGCATAAAAACCTTTCAGCTGTACAATTGGCCATAGTCACAGCCAGCCAGTACACAACCACTGAAAGGTTAGAGCACACAATTTTATCTTAAAAATCTTTGATCCAAAGGTTTCTAATTAAATGCTTGAAATGAGTTTTGTAGACAAATATAACTTGTTCCTTTTAGGGATTTCTGGTAACACTTTACAGTAAGGTTCAATTTGGAAACTTTAGTTACTGCATTAGGTATCATGAGCTAGTGATGGACAGGATTTTTTTACAGCCTTTATTAATATAGATTAATTTTAGGTTATTCATTTAATGATACGTTAATGCAAATTTATAAAACTTCAAATAAAAAAGATGAATATACGTTAATCAAAATTAACCAAGATTATTAAATGCATTGATGTTCATGTATAGAACTTTATTGTAAAGTATTACTTAATTTCTTTACAAAACATATGTTTGTTTGTTTTTTTTTGTCTAAAGATGCTTTTTAAAATTGGTGCTGTAAATTTAGTTTTTGGGGTAATTGTTTAATCATTTCTTTAATCAATTTGAGGCAATTGTTCCTCTCTGCAGAGAGGACCGTACTCAGTCGGGACACATCCTGGGTGACGCACAACGTCGTGATCAGCCTGACATGCAGGACACTAAGAATATGTCCCCTGCCCCCTTCGCTCTTCTCAGGCTGCTCACACACATGTCCATGCTGCTGGGAGCTCGAAACAACCCACAGGTATTACATTCTCTCTGCCTGCTTATGGTTTTGTGGCATACAGATGTGGAAAGAGTATGAAGAAATATACTTTAAAAAAACAAAACAAAAAAATTACCATTGCCTTCCAAATTTTGTAGTGTGAATTAGAGCTTCCAAAACATACTTGACTATACTAATAAAACATATTTAGCTCCCTGTAAGCTCCATGCAAAGAGCTGCCAGCTCAGGGCATATAGTTTCCTAGTGGAGGCAGCTCTAGCATTCAGGATAGTCTCAACAATCTTCATAATCAAAATGATCTTTTTGACCATTTATCTTGGGCTACCCGCCTAAAGATGACAAACTTTTTCCTTAGACTTGCTTAAGACTTCTTGGTGCCAGGATCCACAACAGATTTATGGTTCTCCATTGTTGACCCGTTGAATTCCCCTTCTTGGTCAGTTTCGGCACAGTTCTGATCATGTCATCACTGTCTGATTTGCTCTAATCCCCTACAGAGAGCACAACATCTAGATGAACTGTTAATTCCTCAGACTGAGCTAATATCAGCCAGTCATCAATAAGATTATCTGCAGATTAAAATTATTTAGCAGATACAATCTGACATGTTAAAAAAAAAGTCATAAGATACATTTCAATTGTATTACCTAATCATCCACAAGGGCCATTGGTGTTTGGAAACTCTATTTGTTCTTTTGATTTTATTTAGCCATTATTAGCTCTTATTCTGGCATTGTATGGCTTGCCCACCCACGCCCCTTCAATCTCAACATACATTAATGTTAGAACATATTTTTATTATTACTTAATTACAATATTTCTCTAAAACACAAGATTAATTAAACACAATAGGTTTTTACACCTACTGGTACAAACATTTGTTTAATTGTGCTCATATTTGCTTTTGAAATAAATTAGTTATTTGTTGTTTGTAATTTCGAACTGTGATCTAATGTGGATGTCGGTGATTTAATGTTGTTGAAATATGAGATTTGTAGCCTTTTATAAGCAACTACTTGCTACACCTGTGTAGCATTTCTCATTTCTATTGTTATAAAAATATCCCAAATTGCATGAAAATCAAATACAAATCATATATTGTCATAATCAAATGTTTATTAGTTAAAATGTCAGATAGGGTAGGCTATGATCACGTAATATAAATGATGCATCTGCAAGTCATAACAGCTATCATGCAAGTGAAAACTTAGGGGGTGCTTTTCATTTCTTATTTTATGCATCCCAGTGCCCTTTCCTCATGTCTCAGCTCCACCCCCTGTTTGAGGGAGTGAGGGAAGGATGCAAAGAAAGACAGCGAGGACAGAGGAATCAAAGGCTTACTTGTATTTTTTTATTTATTTATTGGAATTATTCTTGATCACTAAAACAACACTTCAAAGCGTCATCAGCGGTGCGTAATAGAGCCCGACCGATATGGGTTTTTTTGGGCCCGATACCGATATTATGGAGTAAAAGAGGCCGATATCGATATATCGACTGATATTCTTTGTGTATATTATTGTACAGTACCAGTCAAAAGTTTGGACACTTTCCCATTCATGTGTCCAAACATTTGACTGGTACTATATATAGAATACAGTATATACATTAATAGAATATATATATACATAAACACATTTTTTGCAATGATCACTCAAATGTGGTGATCAAACACTTATAATGACAAAAATGCCCTGCCTCCATTACGTGTCTAACAATTTAACAATAAACTTTATTATCCAAAATGAGTCTGACATCAGTGCACTGAACAGTAAAGTTGAAGTTTATTCAACTTTAATTTAATTCAATTCCATTCAACTTTATTCCGTTGATGTTTATTTCACTTCGGAACATTCATTCACGGATTTGCGCTACTGTCTTCACACACAGACGGACCTTACTAGAGAAGTGTGACATAATATACCTCTGTAAATAAATACAATTTCACGTATAAATTCCCGTCTCGCGCACTTTAATGCCCTTTGAATGTAACGTGTACGTTCCCTTGGAACTGGAATCATGGCGGAATTTCATGTGAAGTCCACTTCGCAGGGCACTTACGGTCGAATAAGACAACGCTTGAATGCTGCCTGAACAAGAGACCTCCTTACTGAAGGGAAAGTGTTGACTGGTGTCACTATCTCGCGAACGCGCCGGCGGATCTCCACCAAATTCGGGGATCCCTTCAACTCGAGGAGCCTCTTGAACGCCACCCTCCGTGCGTCGGTAGCCCCCGGGATTGCTCGATCGGTCGGCGCCAGACTGTGAAATTAACCACCCGTAACTCCCAACCCCAGGGGGCTATCCACGCGGGGGTGGTCTCATTTGAAAGCGGGCCTCTAGATGTACACTCGATTCAGCGATATATCGGTCGGGCTCTAGTGCGTAAGTTTGGTTATTTAAGAAATTAATAATAAATATTATTTCAGCAATATGCCCTGTCAAAATAACTGAAGTGTATGGTTTATTACTATGGTTTAGTTATTTTTACTAATGCTCATCAAGTTACACTGTTCAGTGGAAAATTTATAGAAATAAGGATTCTGTCTAAAGAAATATGTGTAAAACTTTATAATAATATCATATAATAAGTATAAGTAATAAAGTACAAATTATGTGCACACTATTTGTTTATAGTTAATCAGTAGTTTGTACATTAATATATAATGTATTAGTTAATACATTAATAGACTATATACACTGCCTGGCCCAAAAAAAAAAAAAAATCAGAAAAGAAAATAAAAAAAAGTCACCATCTGAATTTAAATAAGCAAATACTTAAGATTTTAAGATTGAATCATTATTTCAGTATGTTTGACAGCAATTATTTTAACCCTATCTTATGCAGTAGGTATCTTTTTATTTCTCAAACGTACTGTAAGGAATTTTAACTCAGTTGTAAGGGAATTAATTATTATTATTGATTCAGGTTTTGATAGGACTCGGATTTGAAGAGCCTAATTCAACCTGATTCGAATTGATTCTAAATTTGATAGTTTACACTCTATCAGCTACTCGGCCAGCGAGAAGTTGATGTCAGTGTATATTACCAATTGAATATGTAAATTTTGTATTCTCCCTGGCCACGGGTGAAATGCAATTATGATAATTTGTAAGCTCTTAAAGAGGTAATCATTATCAGTAAGCCACGAGCTAGGTAGCAAGCAAGGGATCTTTTTGGCAATAGTTTTAACCTTGAAATTATATGACACCAGACAATCGATTATTTATAAATGAAATATGACATTTTATTGGCTATTCTAGATTACATTGCAAATCAATAGCTCCGTGTTTTCTTTGTAAAGATAAGCAGAGAGAGACAGGAACTGCTGAGACCCTGAGCTGACCCTGTAAGTAGTTTAATGACTGCAGATGGCTGGGGAGACGAACCTTTAGTTTTCCCGGTGGAATTTAGAGATTCAATGTTTGTTTGTATCTGTTTATAGATTCAAGGGTTTCAATATCTTGAAGGCCGGGATCCTACAGTACCCATGTATATATTCCAGGATATGAAGTATATTTGTGTAAATATATAAATATTTCTCCAAATAAGCACACTTTTGGACGAAAAGCCCTAATGAATGCTGTTTAGTGCAGCTATGTGACGACAGATAAACTGGATCAGATGTTACTGAATATGAATACATGTTGTTCTATTTAAAAAACTACTATTCCAAAGGTAGGGTGCAATAACCCGGTCCCCTTTAGACTTTAGACAAGATTTGGGGACTTTAAAAGTAACGTTTGAGATGTTTTACATCTGCTGTGTCTTGACATATGTAATAAATAGCCTAATAGTTTATCAAAGATGATCAAGAACCCCCATCCTCGGGACATGGGTGATCACCGCGTCTCTTATCTAGCACGTGCCTGAGATCCTTTCTCCCTCTGTTAGTGTAAGCCTTCTGCCCCTGACTCCTAGAGGGAGGAGGGGCACAGTTAGAGATGCTAGACTTTTGATCTTGTCTATGATCTTGTCTTAGAGGAGAAATTGGAGTGCAGAGGAATGAATTTCCTGAAAGTAGCTGATTGCGCATTCGTCTCTCTGAACTTATCCACAACCGCCTTGACGGAAGTGCCAAAAAGCCCAGTAGGTGAAAGCGGAGAGTCAAGGAGAAATTCCTTTTCTTTCTTTCCAATGGCCACAAGATTGATCCACCCCATACGCCGTGCCATTCAAGCACGAGGTGGTCTGAAGCGCTACTGACGGCAAGGCAAGAGTCTTTAAAGAGGATGACTCACCCTGTGAGAGATCGCTCGCAAACGTCTCTTCAACAGGGGGCATCCTTGCGTATCCACGCTCGGCCACACCCTCAACATTAGCATAATCCATGTGTTAAAAGGGTAATATAAATGAATACGGCTTCCCCCAGGATTTAGATATATCCGAGTGGAGATCTGGGTTAGTAGCACGATCCATCACATCCAGCATATCCTCGTATGCGCGGCTGGGGGTGGTCGATGACGACTCAGTGCTCGCACTTTCATTATCTTCACCAGCCACATCTATCTCTTCATCATTGTCAAGCTGACTAGAAGAGCCCAGCAGTGTGCTATCGGGATCAGATGACTCCAGTGAAAGAATGCCTGGATCCCGTAGCACGCTCAAGCTCGCAGCAGATTTTTTGAAAGATCCATACCTTTCTCGAACTTTTCCACAAGCTCAACCTGCGATCCCCATGAGCTGAGTTTTCGCCATGCTTTGGCAGCAGTGGGACCCGACCCGGCGAGGCGCAGATGCTTGCCCCTTTTCCCTCAAAAAAAATAGACAAACGTGATCGGAGCTCCTGCATAGTGAATTTCTCACAATGCACGCATTCGGAGCCCTCAAGCACCGAACGCGCATGCTCCTTACCTAGGCACATAATGCACAAGTTGTGTGTGTCCTCATGTGTCAAAGACCTAGGACACGGAGGCACACACTTCTTGAAACGCTCACCCAGATTCTCAGACATAGTACACACTGCTTGCAACAGACAGCTCCTGAAGACAACAAAAGTTGGTGACGTATTCAGCAGGTGCCCTTTTATTCTTCCGGGCACCCACCTATGATGTCACGGGCTACGTGGACCAATAGGATTGGCGTTGTTTTACACATGCTTCAGACACCGGTCTTGCTAGCAGCATTCCCTAGTGTGTTGTCTAAGGGACGCAGCGTGGAGTTCCCTAGAAGGGGAAAGTAATTTGTAAAAAAGTCAAAAAATATAGGGTGGGGACTTGGTTCTATGGATCAGTTGTTGATTGAATTTTGAGATGTGGGCTTTGCACTCAATAATGGAGGCAGATGTGGGGCGGAGTTTAAGTACATTAATTGACAGGAGCCCTGCATACATCACTAGAGAGAAGGCTGTCCAGTTATGACACTTACAGTATGTCCAGTTATGAGACACTGATTAGACATTATGAGATTAAAATCTTTTTGAAAATGAACACATGCAGTAAGGGTGTAACAGTTCTTGGGGGGGGACTGTTTGCTACGCATGCATTTGTATCCTGATTATTTTGTGCTTTTGTTTCTATTTATTATTTCTAATTACTTTACCCCCCCCCCCCTTCTTTTTATGTTGGTGGTTTTAACATTTGTGTTGTATACAGTAGTATGCTTTTGCCAGTGAAAATTGGTCAGAGAAATTTCAACATTGGTTGACAATGCAGTTGTATTGCACTGTATTGTATTATCTATAATTTGTGAATTTACCGTCATGCTGCTTTCAAACTGTGTTTCTTTTTTATTTTGTCAAAAGTGCTGTTTATAACATTTATATTTTGGCACACAATGAAGAGCATACAACTATGTATATTTGTTCTTTAATTAATTAGCCCTGGGTGAAGCATAACGATGCAGGTAAAATATATGTCTAGTCATTTTAAAAAAGTGTGAAACTTATATGCACAAATCAATTGTTCACCAAAAATCAATAACATGCATTTAGATAAAACATAAGGTAACTTAGTGAGATCTTAGTGATCTTAATTCCATATTCTTGCATGTGTCTGTGTAGAGTGTCATGCAGATCATCAAGCCTGCTGTGCCGGATCCCAGGCCGTTCCTGATGGCCCATCTGTTGAAGGATATGGAGCAGCTGAGCAGAGCTCTGGGTAAAGGAGTGGATGATACGGTCAGTACCATCCATTTGACCATCCACAGTCTACTGGAACCCCATCAGACCAGCCAGTGTAAGAACCGTACAACTCGCCTTACATTTCCACATGCCATATTGATCACAGAAATTCAAGAAATTTAAAATTTTGTTATTATAAACAGGGCCTGCTCCTTATGATAAAACCCTTTCCTCTAAAGATGCAAGAAATGGATGGGAAAATGTCATGAATACTGATGTCATTACACATCAACTGAAGGTGAACAACATGCTTTCTTTTATTGTATTATGTATCTAGAATATTTAGTATATCAGGTTTGATTTAGCATTTTCTCATGTATGTCCCTTATTTTTCATTTTGTCTGAAATGGATAGACAATTAGTGACAATAAAAGATTTAATGGAACTATGGGGGTGGACCTCTGGCCCTCTAGGGGTAAAATTGTATACATTTTAAAGTTAAATGAATCAATCTGGTGCAATTTATGTAACAGACTCGGCTTGATGTTGGGTTTGAATCCATTTGCAGAAGTGTATTGAAACAAGTCAGTGGTGGAAAGAATACTGAAAAAATATACTCAAGTAAAAGTA